TCTTTCTCAAATCAAATTACACAACTACAGCAACAAATTTCGAATTATTTTCGCATTTCGTGCAGCTGACAACCGGTTAAATCAGGCCTTTAATTTAGACGTTGACTGTAGCGTGCTCTTCAAGCAGTTTATATATGTATAATCCATTTGTCACTCCTACCGTGGCTGGTTAATAATAAAAACTAAACTAAACCTTCTGTTTTCTCACTTTTTCACGTTGCCTTAGGTGTGACCGTTCTGCGAGTGCTAAAAAATACCGTGCAGTTGGGTAGGTATTAGGGGGACTCCCGATTTTTCAAAATCAAATTGTATGTTTGGTGGAGCGCTTCGTCACTATGTGTACTGCAGTGCAAAGTTATAAAGATGATTATTAATTATACAAAATATTAATTCTTTACAATTAAGAAATTTATTGGTTTATTAAAACATAAGTATTCAAATTCCACACAGTTAGTCAATAGTAATATAATCAATAATGACAAATAAAAGATACTGATGATAGGGCTACAAATTATAAAAGTAAATTAAACTATAATGGTTTTTTTCTGGTTTTAAGATAGCATTAAAAATAGTGATGATATGATATAGTAATATGGAATATTACATATTATACATGTTAATTCTGTATAAAATAAATGTATCCGGTAAAAGATTTAACTAATTAGTAAAATAATCAATAATCACCCAAAAGATACTTTTTTTAGAGCTTACAATGGCTTAGGTAAAATGAATATCACATTACAAAATGTAATTCTATACAATACATATTTTAGTCGTAGTTAATCAATACTACAATTTTCAATAATCACATGTTAAAGATATTTTTGTTAAAGCTTAAAATTGTTCAGTTAAAATGATAAATAACTATTTCCTTCGTTGAGATTCTTTGCATCTATGCATAATCGGTGTAAAATTAATATTAAAAGTTAGTAATAAATAAGCTTTGTCTGGTGGAGTCTTTAAATTACTTCAAGTATTATTCATGTGATGTTATGAGTATTTGGGGAACCTGTGGTCTAGCTGGGCCGCTTGAATCTTGTAGAGCGTTGTGCTGCCAAAAGTTAAGTGGTCCCGGTGGCAGGGCTATGAGTTTTCCTTCATTATCATCTTCGACCTTATATAGATATATACTTATCTCCGTTCTAAAACTCTCCATTTCGGCCTTCTCTTGGGTTCCAACTGCCTCCACCTCTAAACTGCGCATCTGGTTAGATATGCTTTTGAAGTGCTCTTTGTGGAGATGCAAATCGGATACGAGGGTCAGGACATGCTGCAGCGGGAACAGAATATTTCTTGAGGCGGACACCTCTGATCGCCGAAAGCGCATGTTCTTAATCAAAAGATTGAGCGTATCCTTAAATATGATGTAACGCATCAGCCAGGCGTCCAAAACTGCGCAGTTCCTACCGATGAGCTGAACGTGGGCAGTTAGAGCAACAGAAGCCTTTTTCTTGGCTTTGGACTCGTGGTATAAGTGCAACTGTATAATAGGAAGACAATTAATATAAATGTCAATACGAAACTCCATGACGGCATCTATCAGCTTCTCAATTTCGAGATCCAGGTACCTCATTGCTGGTACAGACGCCTTATATTGAACTAGAATCTTCCACATCCGATTACTGGGAAGTAAGATTTCCGCCGCTTTGATGAGGTGACGAAACAAGAAGTACATATCGGAAACATATTCATTGGCTGGTAGATCATCTACAGGTTGTACATCTCTTGGTGGTGAGGCCAGTAACTCAATAATAGTGTCGAGAGCAGCAGTATCAAGGCTCGAATTAGGTAGCTGATAGATTTGCAGTATAAGCACCGAGCAGAACATGAACTTTGCCCGCTTGAAGTCCAGTCTGTCGTTGGACAGTTCAGTAGTGCAAAAATCCTTTAGCTGTTGGGCTAAACCGCATATCCTGGTGGTCACCTCGTGGTTCGGATTTCTTAGATTGTTGTGCATCAGTACTAGCATGGCAGCCAAGCTCTCCGATCCATAGAGAGTTATGTTCTCATTTTGTGTAGGTCTTTCCAGCACAAATTTGGCAAGAGTTTCGTATAGATTGTTAACATGACGTGGGCGTAGTTTGTTGCCCATCAGCATCGCATGCAGACGACGAATGTTATTGGCATATTCCTCCAAAAGCTCATTACTTATAGGGTCCTCCGGCGAAGAAGCATCGGCGGTGTTCAAATCGTCCTGCAAGCTTACAATCCTTTCTCGTAAATCCCTTGCTGCTGTGGAGTGTAACAGAATATTCCCAGTTACATCCGCAGAGCGCGACATATTCCAGTAGAGGTCATAGATCTCCGACTCAGTAAGGGTGTAGTCGTCTAAGAAACTGTTTAGACAACAATCCTCCAACTTTATAAGCAACTACATAAATAAATTATTATTATTATTATTTTAAGATAAATTAATATCATGTTTAATTTCTTTAACCTTACAGTAGCATTACACTCCGCAATAGCGGCAAAGTCGATCGTACCATAGATGCCAAGGAGAATGGGTCGAGCCCCACTTTGCGTAAATGAGGTGTGCAGAAAATGCGGCCAGGCGCACAAGAATTCATCGACCTGGTGCCGAACCTCTGGGTCAGAGTACTCCACCATGCGAAGTTCAAAGAGAATGCTCGCCGATTGGGCTGCAATAAGACTCAACTCCATCCGAACATTCGCAGCGCAGAGCAGTCTACAGAAGAACCTGAAATCCATAAGCTCTTCAAAGTGTTCATTAATGGTCTCCAAATAGCGCTTGAGTTCAGCTCGGAATTGCGGGTAGCTCACACTTGCTCGGGGAGATGATGGATTCTTGATGTAGGTTTCCAGGATGTGCTGTCCCACGTCCCAATCCTCAATCTGGGACTGGCGCTTTGCCAGGGCTATGTATACCTTGGCCGCCATAGAAGCAACCACCACACAAGTCGCCTGCTTTCTGAGGACAAGTTGCAGTAGGACCTCAAGGAATCGCATGGGGAAGCCCTCTGTGCTGTCTAAATATCTTTGAAGAGTCATCAAATACCTCAATGTGGCCAAAAGCAAGTGTTTGGACTGGCTCTTCTCGAGGGTGTCAAATTGCAGGATCACATACTTGCCTGTTATCAGCTCGTTCGAGAAGGTTCGCAGATAAACTCTTTGCTTTCTCGATTCAAGCAGCTTGAGCACCGAATCCAAGAACTCATAGGCCATGATATAGCTTTCGTTCTCGGTCATCACAACGCTTAGGATAGTGTAGACAAAGTCCAGGGCAGACTTTTCCACGCCACAGAAGAATTCGTAGTGCTTTTGGAAAATTTCCAGCATGGGTGGGACAATCACTGGGCAGGTATCCTGGTAGCTATAAAATATAAAAAAACCATTAAAGTTGTTGGATTCCAACGATTGTTGCTTATTACTTGATGATTTGAAGTCTAGATAAACATTTGTAAATTACAATTTTTGTAGGAAAACCATTGTTTAACATATTTTAGGTAGTAAATTAAAATTACGTTATGTGTTCTAGGTAGGTAAATTATAAGAAATAGCATTCCGACCATTAAAAGTTAATGTATTTATACTATGAGTAGTTTTGTTAAATACATATATGTAAGACCTTATAATAAGGACAGACCTAATGCTCCCATAATAGTCCTTATATCACAAAAATTTGTTCTAATCCAAGTCGGTTGGTCTTATGTTATGATGTAAGAAACCCAACCGATTTTGGTTTTAAATATATTATGAACTTACAATACTCCATATCGAACACCCACGGCGAGTGATACGCAAATCTCCTTCAGACCTTGGAAGTCCTCATAGTCACGCAGTAATTTGGCCAGTCCGCCCAGAAAGCTGAAAGCTACGGAAGGTGTGGGGTCGATGACTATATTTTAAGCAATATGGATAACCTACACAGTCTGGCAAGCGGTTCGCACAGGAATTGGTTAAGTTCCAGGTCAGCACCTACGGCGTCCACCACTTTGATCCACTTTACGACGAGCTTCAAATAGGAGGATAATGGATGTATCTGATCTCTGTTCCCCTTCTTGGCCAGATGGTCTGCAATTTGGGCCAACATCCGAGGCAGCTGAACCAGGAACTCATCCAGTCTCTCTATTAAATTCGGCGGAGGATCAAAGATATAGTTGGGGTTATGATCGAGATACGGATGATCCTGTGTCTGATTAAATTCCTCAATGCTCACTTGGAAATTCAAGTTAAGAGCTCTAAAGCAGTGACCCACAAACTGGTGAGAAACCCTTACAATCCAATTTTCAGGGTCAGAGATCAGGGCTTGCATGAAGGCATAGGCGAATTCCTTGGCTACCGCCTGATTTTCTATATTACTAATTGGGAACACACTCATTTAAACCTGCGTACTTACTCGGGTATCGCCAATCATCGAAATGGCCGCAAAGAAATCCATTTTTAGCAAATAATTGAGTAGTAAACAATACGCGACGCCAAGTTTAACATTCTTTTTTCAAAAAGGCGTCCTAATGTGTTGGAAAACGCGTCGTCATAAAAATGTCAGTGCTGCACAATGTATTAATATGGCACTGTAGTCAAGATCAGTAGGTATCGATTTTTTTTTGGCGCCCATACGTATTTTTTTGAATTATTTATAATGTAAGGTCAAAAACTTATCTAAAATAATGCATAAAATGAATGTATTTCCTTACTTTATTTAAACACCCTTACAAAATTCCTTATTAAAGTTGCAGTCTCGAAGTTTGCTCGGTTTTATGCTTATAAAAGGGTATTTGAAACACGGATTGTTTTTAAATGTATACTATTTTATATTGTTAACTATTATTCTGAGTTTTTTTGTTTCGGGTAAGCCAAACATACCATTATAGTACTTTATGTTGATACCCAGATCCAATTAAAAGCAATGACCTCTGAACTGTCATTGTTCACTGGTTCTGATTGTTTGACTGTTTTTCCCTATTACCCTAACCCTAGTAATACTTTCCCACCAAGCTACAGTTTATTTTATCCTTCCCTTTCAAGCAGACAACTTGAGAATGAGGCTAACGTTGTATTTAATAGTTACCATCGGTTTGGTAGACACACACTGCGCTTCCTTAAAATACATTTTAAAATCTCTTAAAGTCGAGCTTCGCTACGAAACGATTCTTCTTTTAGAAAGTTCGACTGAAAGTAATTCGTGTTGGAAACAGAAATACATTCAAAACCAGATGCCCATCCTAAATCTCAACGCAAATCAAAGCTTGTATCTAAAAGATAAATTCAATACAAATATGCTGGCACTAGTTTGCTTGAACGAAAACGAAGAAAACACCATGCTGGCTCTCTATGAAAATATGGAAGATATGCGCGATACTCCCACTATATTATTCGTGCGTTCGGATTTCGAAATTAGGGATATATTCGTGGAGTGCCAAAAAAAGAAAATGCTCAATGTGGTGGCTTTCACAGGTTTAGAAACTGAGTTTATTTACAGCTTCCAACCATTCCCAAGATTTCAGTTAATCAAAAGAAGTGTAAAGGAAACTGCTATATATTTTGAAGAACATCTTACTGATCTGGGCGGCTATACCCTCAGTGCACTACCCGATAATGTAATACCTCGAACAGTGGTCTACAGGAATCCCGATGGAAATCGCCAGTTGGCTGGATATCTTTACCCCTTTATACGGAACTATGTGAGCACCATTAATGCTACTCTCAAAATCTGCTGGGACCTGGTTCCGGAAGATGGCATGAAAGAGTTGACGAAAGTAATCAGTCTCTCGGAAACTTACAACGTGGACTTTCCGCTGGGTATTCATGGCATTGAGCATGGGACGACCAAACAAAACGTTCATATGGAGGTTTCTAGCTGGTTCGTGATGCTACCCATGGAACCCTATTGGGTCCGATCATGTTTCTTGAACAAACTGGGTTGGGAGAGGATTATACCATTGATGTTACTTTTGGCTGTAGTGCTGGGCAATGCCCACCGAATTGAAGTGGGCTTGAGTCCCAGCTGGCGATGCTGCTTCGTGGGAGATAAAGTCCTGCGAGGAATCCTGGCACAGCCGATTATCCTACCCACAGCACTCTCCCCCAAACTAATGCTCATTTATTGGTTACTTCTGCTGAGTGGATTCTTTGTTAGCAACTTTTACACAGCCAATCTCGAAACTTGGTTGGTAGATCCACCATTGGCTCATCCAGTCCGCACCTGGGAACAAATGCGCAGCTTGAATCTGAGGCTCCTAATTGTCCCTTCCGAATTTGATACCTTAAAGAAGGCCCTAGGCAAGGAATTTACAGATGAGTATAGTGATATTTTCGAACTAACCAACTCGGTGGAGTTCCAAGACATGCGACTATCTATGGACCCATCTTATGCCTATCCTGTGACCGAGACCTTGTGGCCACTTTTGAAGCATGCACAGACCAGACTCCTGAAACCAGCATTCCGACGATCCAGGGAGATAGAGATCATACATCTATTGATCATGTCCATGCCCTTGCCACACAATTCTATATTTTACAAATCATTAAATCGCTATAAATCACTCACTTATCAGAGCGGATTGTATGAGTATTGGTTCAAACGGAGCTTCAATGAGTTACTTGACCTGCGGAAAATCAATTACAAAATAGATGACAACCTTGAGACATATCGGGACTTCGAGTGGCACGACTATAGCTTTGTATGGCTGGCCTTCCTGGTGGGAACTATCATTAGTTTCTTAGTCTTTATTGGTGAAATTAAATACCACAGATGGCACTTAAACAAAACATCACTTTAATAGTTTGTTATTTTAAAAACCTTCCCAACAATAAATAATAAATGTTAAGCCTTTAAAAAAACTAAAGATTGACTTAATTTATTAATATTTAAAGGCTTTCTTTAAAAATGTTTATCTATAAGAACATTAATTAGATAAACCACCCACATATGCCGTTTCTCCTTGGCACTTGACACTTGACACTATTAAAAAAAGTGACAATTAATTGTTAGTGCTTGACAGTTTTGCTTGTGCAGCCAACAGATTTTATCGTCATGACTCTAGGGAAAAGTCCAACCAAGTGGCAGTTCATTTTACCAACCCGTTTTAAACAGGCCACGTCAAAATGCGGTTAGCTTTTTATTTTATATTAACCAGTTTGGTAAAAGCAAATAATTTTACTTTGAATAATATGCTTAAATCTCTTGAGGATGAGCTGCATTATAGGACTATTTTTCTTTTGGAAATTTACCCTCCAAGGGATTCGTGTCCGATGCTTACAAACTTACAAAGTAATGTTCCCATCCTAAACTTCAATGCAAAGCAAAGTGTGTATCTCAAAGATGCTTTCAGTTCAAAGGTACTAGTACTTGCTTGTTTGAAGAAAAATGAGAAAGACACAATGAAGGCACTGTATAGTAATCTTCAAGATATGCGAGACACCGCCACCATACTATTTGGATCTTCGGTTCATCACATACGAAATTTATTCCTGGAGTGTTTCAGTGAAAACATGCTCAATGTGTTGGCATTTAAAGGCTCGAACAGAGACTTCATCTACAGCTTCCAGGCATTTCCGACATTTCGCGTTATAAAACGCAGTCTACCGGAAACTCAACGGTATTTTGAGCCACAGCTGCAGGATCTCGGGGGGTATACCATTAAGACATTACCCGACAACATAATGCCAAGAACTGTGACCTACCGAAATGCCGATGGAAATCGCCAGTTGGGCGGATATCTCAGTCACTTCATACGAAACTATGTGAGCACCATAAACGCCACTCTTGAAATTTGCTGGGACCTAGTTCCGGAGGACGGTATAATCCCTTCGTTGGATAACATTACACTCTCGGAGAACAGACTTTGGGACTTTCCTCTGGGCTTTGATGGTCTCGACCAAAGGATATTAAAACAGAACATTTTCATGGAGGTCTCCAGCTGGTTCCTGATGCTGCCCATGGAACCCGTCCTTCCTCGAGCTCGTTTCTACTTAAGTTTTGGTTTGTACAGGCTAATACCTTTAATGTTACTGGTAGCAATGGTGCTCAGCAATGCCCATCGGTTGGAAGCGGGCTTAGGTCCGAGTTGGCGATGGTACTTGGTGGGAAATAAAGTCCTGAGAGGAACCCTGGCACAGCCATTTATCCTACCCAAAAGACTGTCACCCAAACTGATGTTAATTTATTGGTTGCTCCTGCTGAACGGGTTCTTTGTGAGCAATTTTTGTATTGTCTACCTCACTACTTGGCTAGTCCATCCGCCGACTCTAGATCGAATAACAGACTTTGAGCAAATGCGTCGCAGGAAGCTGTATATCCTCACAATCCCATCGGATCTGGATTTCTTGGAGACCACCTTGGGCAGGGAATTTGTAGAGGCCCGCAACGATTTATTTCGGATCACCGACTCGGCGGATTTTCAGAGGAGGCGCATCTCTATGGATCCATCTTTTGCATATCCAGTGACTTTCACCTTGTGGCCACTTTTGGAACAGGCACAACTTAGGTTACGTCGACCCATCTTCCGCCGATCCAAAGATATAGTGATTCTACCCTTTATTATTATGGCTATGACACTGCCTAACAACTCGGTGTTTCACCAGTCTCTCAACCGATATAGTTTACAAACTCATGAGAGCGGACTTTATCATTTTTGGTTCAGACAAAGCTTTAACGAATTGGTTGCCCTCGGCAAAATATCGTATGCATTAGATATGGACCATGAGGCCTATTTTGATCTGAAGTGGCAGGATTTCCACTTTGTATGGCTTGGCTTTGTGGGTGGAACTATCACAAGTTTCCTAGTGTTCCTTGGCGAGATTGGATACCAAAGGTGGCTTTTGAAGCATACACAAAAATAAATTAACCTTGTTAAATTGTATTAACCTTAATACTATGTATAAATACAAATTAGTTGCTTACCGCTTAGGTAAACTGATTGTTCTAAAGTTTCCTCGAAAACAGAAATATTTACCTGTGAATAACAAGTTGGTGCTGACATTTTTTTCTGCTTGGGAAATAAAGAAATGCATTCGCAATTAAAAAGTGTGACATTTCAGTTTTTATAGATTGTTAGTTTCTTGTTGCCTTACTGACTTATACCAGATTTTATCATGCTAACCATAACTAAGCAAATGTTTTGTAGGGTTACAGTTTTTCATACAAATCCGTTTTGAGTAGTCGTCTCGAAAATGCGTCTGGCTTTATATTTTATATTAATAAGTTCAGTCGAAACACAAAGTGTGTTTTTGAATAACCTTTTAAAGACCCTTGAGAAAGAGCTTCATTACAATACAATACTTCTTTTAACTCAAGGTAACACGTGCTGGAATATGGAAGACTTTCAAGAAGAGTTTGCCATTCTAAACTTCAATGCAAATTACAATGTGTATCTAAAAGATGCATACAACTCAAATATACTGGTACTGGTTTGCTTGGATAAAACTGAAAAAGATGTAATGAAGGCACTATATAGTAATCTTGAAGATATGCGAGATACACCCACCATACTATTCGGGTCTTCAGATAGCCACATTCATAAACTATTTCAGCAGTGCTTAAGTGAAAGTATGCTGAATGTGTTGGCATTTAAGGGATCGAACAGAGGGCTTATCTACAGCTTCAAGGCATTTCCAAAATTTGCCGTTATAAAACGAAATGTAATGGAAATTCGACGATACTTTGAACCTCAGCTCCAGGATATGGGGGGATATACCTTAATGACACTACCTGACAACATAGTCCCTCGAACTGTGGTCTACCGAGATGCCGATGGAATTCGCCAGTTGGGTGGATATCTCAACGCCTTCATCCGGAACTATGTTAACACCATGAATGCAACTCTTCACATTTGCTGGGATCTAGTACCAGAAGAGGGTATGAGGCATTTGTCGAATGTTACCAAGCTCTCGGAGATGAAACACGTCGATTTTCCGCTGGGTATTGATGATCTTACCATTGACTCAAGCAAAACTAACATTCCTGTGGAGGTATCCAGCTGGTTCCTGATGGTACCCATGGAAAGCCCCCGTGGCCGAAATCGTTTCTATATTGAATTACCTCTAAGTAGACTAATACCTCTTGCGTTCCTGATAGCTTTAGTGCTAAGTAATGCCCATCGGGTGGAATCGGGCGTGAGTCCCAGCTGGCGATGCTGCTTTGTCGCAGATAAAGTTTTGCGAGGATTCCTGGCACAGCCATTTATCCTACCCCGAAGACTATCCCCCAAACTGATGTGTATTTATTGGATGATCCTGCTGAATGGTTTCTTTTTCAGCAACTTTTATTTGGCCAATTTGGAGACCTGGCTTGTTCATCCACCGACGAATGAGAAAATCCAGGGCTGGGATCAAATTCGCAGCCGGAAGCTTAAAATCCTTATTACACCATCTGAGTTGAATTACCTAGCCTTCACAATGGGGTCAAAGTTTGTGGATACCCACAGCGATATATTCCAGATGACGAACTCGACGGATTTTCAGATAAAACGCATCTCGATGGATCAGTCTTATGCCTATCCTGTGACCTACAGCTTATGGCCAATTCTGATGCACTCTCAAGTTAGACTTCGTCGACCCATATTTCGCCGATCCAAGGAGTTGGTTTTCAAGCCATTTATAATTTTGGCATTGCACCTGCCAAGGAACTCAATTTTCTACAAGTCCCTCCTTCGTTACAGAGATTTAACCCACGCTACCGGACTGTATAAATTTTGGTTTAGAAACACCTTCAACGAACTTGTGGTACTGCGACAGATCTCCTACATAGAAGATGATGTTGAGGTGTATTGCGATCTCAAATGGCAGGACTTTTTGGTTGTATGGCTGGCCTTTTTAGGAGGAACTGTATTAAGTTTTCTGGCGTTTCTCTGGGAGCTTGGTTACTACAGGTGGCATTGAAAGAAAATCCCACTCCAAATGAATTTATAATATATCAACTTATTAACCACAAATAAACTCTAATAGTTCTGTCAATTTCATGGGTTTATGGTTATGGAATTATTCTTGCAGGTCATGGAAATAAATTGATTAAATGGTTGGCAGCACAGCGACCTTGACCAATATGCCTACCTCAATTTTAACACTAATCTAAAACTAAACTACACTGAGGATAATACAGAGCAACCATCTCATAATCTCATTTGGCAGGACCTGTACTACGTGTAGATTGCCTATGTAGTCTGCTGGTTTACTTCCAGTGGCAGCGATAAGAAAGCAATCTAAGATCCTAACTTTATTAACTAATTTTTGATATGCCAATAAAATTCATGAAACTTATTGGAATGAAATAAAATAAAGGATAAATGTAACCTCTTTAAACTATAATAATTAAACGCCGGGTCGCAATTTCAAACACTTTTTGCAAAAGCATTTTTATTCAAGTTTCACATGTCTCTGCTCACTGCATCTTGATTTTCATCATTAAATGTTTTTCCATTTTCTTGTTCATTTTCGCTTGGTTTTTTTTTTTAGGTTTGTTAATAAGTAGGTATTTGTAATATGTTATAATTAGGATTTTCGTTTCAATGGAATTACATATATAATGCATATATTATACGCCATCTGTGTCAGTATTATCTGTGCTTCTTGTGTGGGGTTTGCTAGTCATTAAAATGGGACTTTCAAGGGGCACACACACCCAAGTCCAAGCAAAATATTTAAATAAAAACTAGGTTCTCGTGAGTAGAGTCGAATTCGAATGCAGGTGTTGTAATGTCTCATTTAGCAAATGTGCAAAATTGAGTAAATTTTATGCGGTGTTGCGTGTTCGAAGTGGGACTCGATTTGTGTTGTTTATCAA